ACCCCAACCGCCGCACCTTGATGGGCGCCCCCAGCCCCCTGAGTGCCACGTTGTCCTCCAGCTTCAGCTGCTTGATCAGCTTGTGGCACCCGGTGACGTAGTCGCGGTCAAAGTCCAGGCTGCCGTACACTGCAGGGCGCGTGACATTGGGTGCAAGGGTCAGAACGGCGCGAGAGCGGCCGGTGCATCCGCTTCAAGCTCGCGCGCACCAGGGTCGCTGCGGCTGGGGGATGACAGGAATCAGGATCGAGCCCCTTGAACTTGAAATCGAACCCCCAACCCCTAAACCAAATTCGTGTTTGAATCCCTTAGCGCCGGCACGACCGAATCAAACCCTGGACCCGGGTCCCATCAGGCGCCGTCAACCCACCCTCCAGCTTGTACTCCTTGACGCCGTAGTCATGCACGATGATCGCCGCCGCCCTGATGGCGCTCATGATGTCCTTGAGCGCATACACGTGGCTGAGCATCGCCGCCGTCGGCTCGGGGGCCTCGTTGTCCTGTGGGCGTGTTCACGTGGGACAGAACTTTCGGTCGTCTGTCAACAGAAGGGGCTGCCTTGCGCGGCTCCTGAGGGCAGAGGACATGGCCTATGCCACACCCAAGGAGGCATCCTGGAAACAGAACGCCTTTCGGCTGCCTCTCCCCCCCCCCAAAACAAGCGAATCGCCACGATTGCGCACGGAAGCGCCAGCGCCAAACCGACCGCGCCGCGGACGCAAGGCCGCGCGTGCGGACCTGCAGGCAGGGGTAGTGCTCGATCTCCAGCGCGTTGAGCAGCGGCATGAGCCTGTTGGGGTCCGTCCCCAGCCAGAGCTCCCACACCGTGTTGAACGTCGCGTTACAGGGCACCACCATGTCTGACAGCCGGTACAGCACCTGTGGTTTGTCAAAAAGATGGAGGAGAGGGTGGTGCGTCTGTTGTGCGGGGCGTGGAAGAGTTGCGCCGCCCGCGACGCGATGCTGGGGATGGACTAAGGGAGGGGGGTCGTGGGGTTCAGGTCTTGGATTGGCGGGGGCTGCAGTCAGAGCCACCGCATGGGTACCATGCCTGAGCATGTGCGCACACACGCACACACGCACACGAGCACACACACACACACACACACACACACACACACACAGGCACACGCACACACATGTGCGCGCGCAAGACGCGCACACAGTCACGCACCTGGCCGGCCACCCTGTGGAAGCGCGTGAGCTGCTCGTTCACAAAGTGGGGCAGCAGGTTGCGCTTGAAGCAGTCCACTGCGGTTTGAGCGGTTTGCAACATTTTTCGGCGTGTTTGTGAGCGGTTTTGGGAGCAGAGCAAGGGGTTGTCTAACATCTACCATCCAATGTGCCCAGTTTGGGATGGGGCCCGTCCTCGTCTGTTTCCTTCACCTCCCTGCACACAACCGCTGCCCCCTCGAACCCTGGGACGTGCAGCACAACCCAAGATATCATCCGCCGCTCTCTCCTCATCGGCACCCCAAGACAAATAAACATGGCACCCGACATCATTCAAACTCAAACCACACTCGGGGCGCCGCCCAAATCAGCACCCCTGCATCAGCCAGCAGTGGCCAAGCCCCGCACTCACGATAGATGAGCCGCTCCCGCATCAGCACGCCATGCTCCCAGACCTGCAGGCTCTGGTTGGTGCGCATCTGGGCCACCAGGCCAGCAAGCGCCTGGGCGAAAAAGAGGGGTTCAATGTGTGATGCGTGACGCGTGACAGGTTGGGTGGTGGGAGTGTGTGCGACGCGGGTTGCAGCGGCTTGGCACGGTGCGCGGAGATTTGGCATGGGGCGCGATGAGCAAATGGCTGACGCTGCAAGCATGATGGATTGAAACGGGCCTTCGGGAAGGCGGGAGGGCCCCCGGGTCGTGGGCGCTGGACAGGGCAAAGCGGGGTCAAATTGAAGTGGAGAAGGGATGGAGGCGCGCGGCGGGCTGTGTGCGCATCCCACGTGGGCGTCCAACCTGCAGGCCGTGGTGCGAGGCCTGCATGACTGTCGCGTCAGAAGGCACCGTGAGGCACATGGTCTTGAGGTAGTGCTGCGGCGCCACGATCGGTCGCGGGCCAGACGACCAAGGGGGGCGCGGCAGGGTGGGGGGAGGCAGGGGGGACGAGCGTCACAACAAGGGCGAAGGGTTGCTTGCTGGGCCGCACGTTCGGCGTGGGGGCCCGTCGTTTACCAGGCGTGAGCACGGAGACCCCAAGACGGGCGTTGCAGGCGGCACTCCTGATAAGAGCTCTCCCACAGCGCTGCTCTCAAGACTCTGGCGACAGTCAGTCGAGCGCGTGCTGTCGGCGCGAGTTGCCGGCCGTTTATCAATAATGCTGCTTTACTGATATGACTCCGCACCTGGAAGAGGTCGAACAGCGAGGCCAGCTCGCTGGGGGTGGGGTCGGCCCCCCCGATCTGCGGCCGGTCGGCGCAGGTGTTGGGCATGGATGCGGCCGCCACCTTGAACTCAAACGCAAATACCTCGCTGACCTGTCGGAGGTGTGGGTTCGCAGTTATACGTGTGTGTGTGTGTGTCAGATGTGTACGAGTGTGTGTGTGTGTGTGTGTGTGTGTGCGCGCGCACGTGTGTGTGTGCATACGCAGGTGCAGGTGCATGTGAATGTGTGCGCTTAACAAGTGTGCGGATGTACCCGTCCCTGGCTGCTCCTTGACGCGAGCAGCCCGCCCACCTGGGGGTCAGACCAGGTGAAGTCCCAGTCGTGCGTCTGCAGAGAGGCACAGGTTGGCAACACGGCAAAAAGGTCGAGGCGCCATCAACAACTATCCTTCGAGCCCTGTGTGCTTGTGTGTGTCGCGCCCCCCCGCCCGCCCTCTCCACTTCTCTTTGCCGCCAAACCCCTCGGCCCCCATCCCGTCCTCAGGCACCAGCTCCCCGTTCAGCCGCAAGGATGAAGCTAGACTTCACAAGGGGCGTGCTGAACGGGATCCTCGAAACCAGACCCACAACAGCATCCCAACGTAGTGCTGGGAGGGGGCTCTCATGGCGCTCCCTAACCAAGGACTCCTGTGCATACTACAGAGCTCACGCCAGGGGTCGCACCTGGAAGTACTGCCAGAGCCCCGCAAACGCCTCCCCTGTGGCGACAGAGTCCGCGCCCTCGCTCGTCACGTTGGCCTGTCAGCGAGGACCGAGGTTTCAGAGTGAGGGCGTTGCGGCGAGGTGTGGCTGCAACGGTCAAAACGCGCTTCTACCAGGATTGCGCATGCGCCAACCAACACTGTGTCACGCACACACGCGCGCACACGCACACACACGCGCACAGGCGAGCATACGCACGCACGTGCACACGCGTCACAGCGCACCTTGCGCAGCGCTACCAGCAGGCACCGCCATATCGGCAGGAACCGCTCCCGCACGGCGTCGGGCGTGGTGACGTACGCGCGGCGCGTGAGCTGGGTGTATGGCACCGAGCAGAAGGTGCTCTGGTTGGGGCTGTCGTGCTGCGTGTCCCACTGGATCGTCAGGTTGACCTGGGGGCAGGGGTGTGTGGGCGGGTGGGAGAGCGTGTGTGGGCATGCAGACGTGTGCGTGCATGTGCATGTGCACGTGCACGTGCACGTAGACGTGTGTGTGTGTGTGTGCATGTGTGTGTGTGTGTGGAGGTATGTGTGTGTGTGTGTGTGTGTGTGTGTGTGTGTGTGTGTGCGCGCGTGCGTGCGCGCGCGAGAGAGAGTGTATGTGTGCGCGTGCAAGGGGTCTTATTGTTCAGGGGGCACCGGAAGCAACGCTGCCGCAAGAAAAGCAGCGAATGTGAGTGGCGCTAGTATCAAATTGACCCCATGCAACCCCCCAGCGACACCATCTGGCACCCCTGCCCCTTGGATCGCCCTCAGATCCACAGGTTCCGTGCTGGCAGCAAGGGCTCAAGGCGCTGCTTGCGGCACAGTGGCGCGCGCACCTTGGTGCAGTTGGGCTGGGCCCGCATCTTGATGATGACCTGCTTCAGATCATGCGCAACCTCAGCCTCCGCGTGCCAGCTGACGTCATCCGTGCCCTGGCACACCTGCGCGCGTTTCGACGCGGTTTGACCGGGGTTTGCAGCGTTTTGGAGGGGGGGTTGGCGCCTCCCATGGGTGCAGCGGCGGCGGGGGCAGAGACAGGGTTGCCCAAAAACGCAACGTTGGGAGAAGCTCCTGTGCTTGCGCCGGTCAGCGCAGCTCCCCCAGCAGGCTGGTCTCGATGCTCATGACAACAACACACCTGCTCCCTGCACGTCGCCACGCCGCCGCCGTCCATGGGCCAAGTCCCGCTGTCCATCGCCACTGCCTTGAGCGGCGCCAGCGCGCCGCCCGCGCCCGCCGCCGCCGTCGCGGCCGCATTGCTCGCGGCCAGCGGGTTGTAGTAGCTGCGAGGGCAGCAGGGCGCGACGCGTCAGGGCAGTGGAATCTCGCCCACCGAGCGGGTGGCGCCAACAGCAAGCCTTCAGACCAGCAGAGGGTATCCAGCGGCGCGGCGCGCGAAGGAAGCGCGCGGGCGCTGCTGCCTCCGCCGCCCCAGGTTAAGGGACCCCAGCAACTGCAGTACACGCGCAGCTGAAAAACAGCACCAGCGCGCGCCCTCTGCTTGCGGCACCCACCTGTAGCTGTTGCCCGGGACGTAGTTGGCGGCTGCCAGGGTATCGAGGGAGTGCGCCATGTGGCTGTGGTGGGTGGGCGTGCTCGACAGGACGCCCGTGCCCAGGGCGAACTGCGCGGGACGACGCAGGCGCGCGCGCGTGTGTTGTGAGTGAGGGGCCACAGATGGGGTGTGCATGCTTCAAAGGCGCGCCGCGAGCGTGCGCTGGAGGGAGAGCAGCCGTTTGCGTCCATGCCCACAACCCGTCCCCGACACAATCAGCGCCGGCAACGGCCAAACAGACCGCGCCGGCCGGCCTCAAGCAAACAGCGTCGCCAACGGTTGCCGGCCCCGCCCCACCTGCACCAGCGGCACGTCCCGCTCCTTCACCGCCCTGCAGCCCGCGCCGTCCAGCGTGTCGTAGGCCCGCCAGTAGCCGCGCAGCAGCGGCTCCCGCCGCAGCATCATCTCCTCCACTATGGTGATGAAGAGCCCGTCCAGGACCGGGCCCCTCACCGGCGCCGGCGCCGCCTTCTTCGCCCCCGGGGCGGCCTTGTCGCCCGCCGCGCCGCCGCCGCCGTGCCGCAGCCGCGCGGCGGCGGCGGCGAGCGCGGACGCGCACGACG